TTTTCTAGCAGTCAAACCCGGTTATTGAAAGGGAGCACCAAATGATGCTCATTCTTGCACTGAAACTTCGCTCCACCTGCATTCTGCTTGTGACAAACTGTTGAAAAGGAGCTGGGAACACCTGGTACACAGGGTTAATGATTTTAACAGCACCTCAGCTGTAACAGCATCACCGTCAGACGGGTGCCGTAAGGGATTTGAAGAAGGGAGTGGTAGTACAACAAAGTCTGAATAGTAATTCTTATTTTTATGCTGGAAACGCTGATTTAATCACTGGTTTTCTCCATCAAACTACTTTATATCGACATCTTTCATTTTTCTGTCCTTTGAAGGTGGTAAATATGATTGCAGTTTTATCCATTTTTGTTAGAAATGAAACAGACTTGAGCGCGCTTGGCCGTGCATCAGTTGTTGGAATGCTGCCATACACTAATGCAGACTCCCCGCTGTGAGCCCACTGAAGAATTATACTTTGATTCACCAGATTGTATTAAATAGTCCAGCTGTTGGGATTTGAAAGATAGTTACCTCCAAAGTGAAATAAAAATGAACTTGGCATTTATGGCTTTGACCATTTTGATGATGTTGGGCAATCAGCTTTTCAGAGGGTAGCACTTTTAAAAATAACCCTCTTCTGGTTACACTGCTTTAAAAAGTTTAATTTGCTGTAAGGTTCCCAATACCCCGGCTTGTATTTTCTGGAATGATTGGCAACTTTTGCATAAAATAAGCATTATTTTCCTTATGAAATCACTGCCTTCTGATGGTAATCAAATGAGCGTGAAACTGTGTCTATTAGCACCCATTTCCGCATTAATTAACTTATAGCAAAGTTCTAATGTTGGAGACAATTCTCATCATTAAAGCTTGAACATGGAATTTCATTTGCTCTGTGCAGCAGCAAGCTGAGTAAATCCCGTCTGAAATGGAAAGGGCAACAACTGTTGTTTGTGTGATTATGTGCTTGGGTTTAACCTGTGCCTTTCCCTTCTTCTATCAGGTGGGAGCCAGCACATTCCCCGCCCCATGCTCTGTGGCGTGGGGTGACCTCTTTTTGCTTTGTCATTTTCTCTAGGACAAAGACTGTCACAATAAAGGGCGGTTCATGGCAGATGGATCCTGTAGCTGAATTTCTTTCTCTGCCCTCCAGTTGATTCTACTGCTTTTCCTTTCGAGGGTGTTACTGTAGCAGTGTGGAAGGATGTTCCATAGCAGTAAGCGTGGAAAAATGTAAAGAATAAATAAAACAGAACAGCAAAAAGGAAAACAAAAGGCTCTGGACTAGCAGATGCCGTTGTATTTGGCAGCTTTGCAGTGAGGCTGCTGGGGAGAGCAGAGCCACACACCCGCTGGTATGAGTAGGACCTTCCTGCTTAAGGCATCCCTGCCCCTGCCCGTTGAGTGGCTGTCGGTGTGGACACCTACACTGTGGTGTGTGTGGCCCTGCCCAAGGATAAGCAGGAGGGCACAGTGTGGCACTGCCCTAACTGTGCTTGGTTGCACACCCTTGGCACTGAGACCAGCAGGCTCAGGAAGTGCGATGTGGTGGTGTGGGAGGCACATGCCTCCTGCAAAGGAGATCCCCCCATCTGTGGCTTGGTCAGTATTTGATGTAAGGGTGTCCTTGCCCACAGCAATGGGGTTGGAACTGGATGAGCTTTGAAGTCCCTTCCAGCCCAAACCATTCTGTGATTCTCTGAATTTCTGCTGGTGTGTTTTAGCTAATGTAAGGATTTGCCTGCATGTTTTCAACATAGTACAAAGCTTTTGAATACAGACAGGTGCTTTTAGTATTTATAGCATGATGCCAGCCTCGACAACAAACGCTGGTGTCTCTGACCTTTCCTTCCTCTCCGTGCTCTGAGGGGTTTTTTATCTGCACGAATCCCTGCCTGGCAAGGCACCGAGGCGTAGCCCTGTTTGTGCAGTACAGAATGCAGGTTTTGCACCCTCTGTTCCAGCAAATGCAGCAAGTGAATGTTGAGAAATCACTTGCACTTGCTCCCGCTGAGACCACTAGCAGCCTGCTGGTGCTGAGCCACATGGAAGATCTGGTTACGCTGCTGCTGCTCCCTGTGGTATGGAAGAGCGTAGTAGTGAAAGCCCTGTGTAAGCTGCTCTGGATGGAGGTGTGGAGAAGCAGCCGTGCTTTGGGCTGCAGGACTATTAGGAACTGGTAGCATTTCCTTCCAGAGCAGCTGCTCTGTTGGACATGGGGGAACCTAAACCCATGAGCAGAGAGAAAATGAATTCTTAAAGGCTATGTTTAAACTGATTCTTTCATAGTGTAAGGGTTTACTCAGTGCCTTGTGAGTTCATTTTTCCTGTTCAGCACCTTCCATGGTTCAGAAGGGGTTAATGTGACTTGCATTTAGTGCACTACACTCTCTTTGAAACAGCTGTTAAATCTACAAATCTGTTTACTAGTTGAGTAGACCTATGCTGGTCGTATGTGCTACTCCAAATAGAAATGTTCTTCTGTATATTTATATTCTTTCTCCTAAATATGTGAACTGTTTTCTGTATTATATGAGTATATATATTTATGTAAGTATAAATACATGTGTTCTTTTCCCTTTAGATCAACTAGTCATCCAGAATTCACAAGAAAAGCTTCTAGTGGTGAAAAAGAGACAGAATCCGTGGTGGTTTTAGATCCCGTTTCCACCAGTGGGGAGCAGATGTCTGAAGCTGCGCTGAGCCAGAACAAAATGAGAGAAGGAAAACTCAAGCCCCTGCATAAAGAAACTACTGTTGGGAAAATCAAAGAAACAGACAGCTCTAACTGTTAGTTGTTGTTTGGAAAGGCTGTAACTTTTTGGGAATCATTATCAGGACATGTGGGTTGCTTAGGTGTGTTACTAGGGGCTGCGGTCTGTTCTTCAACTGGTTTTCAGTAATAGACATTGAAATGGTCTTTTGTACTGCAGTTTTGTTACATGCTTTAAAGTGTTACATAACAATATATCCCTCAAAATCCCATTTCCGTGTTAATTTTGCAGCTATGGTTATTATTTTCTTAGATAGGGTCAGTTACCTTTACTTTAAACTGTACTTGAAAAGGCTTTTAAAATTATTCTTTTACTGAGAAGATGCCTTGTCCATTCCAAAGCTTGCCAGAAGCCCCTTGCAGCCCTTCTGAACTGCACAGGTCTGGGTTAGACCCTATGAAGGTGATAACACACATATCAGCTGTACAGTGGGGGGTTACCCATTAGTAAAAACATAAGCGTTTGGACACATTGGTTTGAAAGTATTTTGGTATCTACTTAAACCAGGACCTCGTAGGTCTCCTTCCTGCCCTCTCCACAGAGGCTGTTGTGAGGAAGCTGAAAGCACAAGCACACCATGTCTGTTTCAGACTCCCCAGTGGCCAGCCAGGTCAGGGACTGAAAAGCAGAGGCAGTGCAGCATTGTCATTTTGGTACCGAGACTTCTGGTGATGATAAGCCAGAAGTGTGTGAGCTGAAGCTGGTGCTCTCATTTGGATGAAAAGCTTTTCAAAGGATGATTTACATCCTGAGTTTTGTTTCAGTGTACACAGCAAAGTGTGGAACTGCTGCAAGTGGAGTCTGCACTTAAAACTGCAAAAGAACAACTTAGCCTAGGCTCCCTGATCATGGAGCACACTTGGGATTCACTCATTCTGGGACCAAGTTATTTGGCATCAGCATTTTGAGAGCTTCCAGCTGAAAGCTGCAGCACTAACAGATCAGCCTTTGCTTTGCAGCTGGTACACACTGGTGGCATTAATTACTTGATGAGGTAACACTTTAGATGTCTGTATTTGATAACACAAATCCCCGTTTCCCTCAGCCCTTACTTCCTGTGAAGGCAGTGGGACAGGTACGTCACCCATTCCCTCCACTGCCAACTCACATTCCATTGTAGTCTCTTCTTAAATCCAACACGGTATCTCATCCTTTTATAACGAACAAACAAATGTAATCAGGGATTTACCTAAAGGTGGGTGTAACTGAAATTGGGTGGTCAAGTACTTGAATGCACTTGGATTCTTTTTTATTTCATGATTTGAAACAGTGATAGTAGTGATGGGTGAATGTTCTGAGTTTGGTGGTTTGGCTCTGCATGCAACTGTCTGGTGCTTTCCCTACCAATAAAATGATAGTAACGAGTGTGGTAGTTTCACATCTTCTTTGGTGCTTTTTGCATGTTTGCTGAGAAAATCTTGGACTTGGTCTAATTACAGGACTACCTAGAATTCCTTAACTTGGGGAAATTTGTCTCTCATTGATATCCTCATTTGGGGGGTCGGGGATTGGGTCTGGTGGTTCATTTTTCTCTTGGGTATCTGTTACACTGAATTTAAAATGCAACATTTTATATATGTATTTTTCCCCTGGAATTACTGCTTCTGTATTATATGTTCTAATTTTCAAATGGTACCAAACCCACAAGTTTTTTAAAGACTCTTTCACTTGAGCTGTTTGTTACCTCGGACATCAATTACTTATTTATCACTTCTCTGGTGCTTATTAAAAAGACTCCTGACAAGTTTCCCAGACCTTGTGCAGTTGACTTGTTACTCCCTGTCTGTGGCTGAGGCTTCCTGGCGATGCCAATTACAGCTTTGTGCCCTACATTTGGGGTTTGCACAGATGCACTTGTGCTGATGTTGACTAGAACTGGAGCACAGCTCCCCATGTAGGCTCCAAGAGCAGCATTGAGAGTGCTGGGGGGGGGGGGGGGGGGAGATGGAGCAGGATAACAGTCAAGGGCTTTGTTGTTGGTTTTTTACTGTTTGTCAATAGCTTGCTCTTTGTGTGGAGAGAGATTTCCACTTTCCCAAAACAAACATTTAGTTTTGGACTTAACACAGAGGTATTTGTTTGGTCAGTTTGTAAATACAGCACAGAATTTGGGGGTGTTTTCAGACTACAGCCACTGCTCAGTTAACTTGGTTTCAGCTGAAAGCAGTGGAAAAGGGAAGCTACTACCATTTAAATGCCTTTAAAATGGATTAAAGAAGAGTTAATATCTGAGTTTCTTACTAGAACAGGGTTTTCTTTAGGAATTTATCCAGAAGTGAATGTTGACAACCTGGGTCAGTCAGTATGCTGCTTGCTGGGAGCTGTGCAGACAGGCTGTGAACCTGTGGGGCTGTCTAGGAGAGCTGTGGAGGGAGCGAGTTCATCAGAAGGTTCTTCTGGCTGTGATTCATAAGGAAAAGCAATAAATTCAAGAGTTGGTTCACCTGAAATAGAAGAGAAAAAAATTAATGTTTGCTGGAATCTGGTTTCCTGTAATGTTCTCTGGTGCACTTGGATTTTTTTACCAGGGATATGTGATGCTTATGAGAGCCTGGAAACACCTTTACAAGCTGGTCATAGAATCACAGAGTGGTTTGGGTTGGAAGGGACCTTAAAGCTCATCCGGTTTCAACCCCCTGCCATGGGCAGGGACACCTTCCACTAGAGCAGCTTGCTCCAAGCCCCTGTGTCCAGCCTGGCCTTGAACACTGCCAGGGATGGGGCAGCCACAGCTTCTCTGGGCACCCTGTGCCAGCACCTCAGCACCCTCACAGGGAAGAGCTTCTGCCTAAGAGCTCATCTCAGTCTCCCCTCTGGCAGGTTAAAGCCATTCCCCTTGGCCTGTCCCTACAGGCCCTTGTCCCAAGCCCCTCTCCAGGTTTCCTGCAGCCCCTTTAGGCACTGGAGCTGCTCTAAGGTCTCCCCTTGAGGAGCCTTCTCTTCTCCAGGCTGACCCAGCCCAGCTCTCTCAGCCTGGCTCCAGAGCAGAGCTGCTCCAGCATTTTTGTGGCCCTCCTATGGTCCTTATAAATGAAGGAGCACCAGGTCTGCACTTTGATTACAGGGCATGGTGGACAGCAGCCTGAGCTGGGGTGTTTGTTGCACATTCCCTTCTTCACTAATCATCTCGCTGCCCTTGTTTTGAACACCCATCTTACTCTGCTCTTGCAGAAGTTCCCCTCAGCTGACCATGCCATTTCTCTACCCTGGCCTGTCACAACCTCATGTAAGCCCACACTCAGCCATTGCTCCTGAAACTAACACTACATCCTCTTCTCACTGTTGTTTTCCCCAGTTCTGTGAGACTCCTTTCCCTTACCTCACCACCTCACTCACTGCTTTGCCACAGGCACAAGTGCCCACCCCGACATGGCTCAGCTGTATGTTCCCTTGTAGTACAGACTACTTTTTAGTGTGTGATTCATGGCTTTGAACAACCTGCTCCAGCGGAAGGTGTCCCTGCCCATGGCAGGGGGTTGGAACTGGTTAAGCTTTAAGGCCCCTTCCAACCCAAACCAGTCTGGGATTCTCTGATTCCACTTGCGAGCAGCTCACACGCAACAGCCACGTGAACCCAGCTACTGATACACATGCCAGCAGAGGGGCTGCACTGAGGCTAAGGCTTGGACTGACCTGTAGGGAGCAGGGACCAGGCACTGGAGACCTGAGCTTGCCCATTGTAGGGGTACTCTTTGGCCCAGCTGCAGGCCCCCTACAGCCACTCCAGGGTGGCGACTCCTGATGGGCCAGTGCCACCTCCCATCCATGAGCCACTTAGAGAGCCCTCGACTTCCCAGCTCTCTGGTGTATTCCACGGCTCACAGCGCAGCCAAATGAAGAGCTTGGTATGCAGCTCAGACGCCCTATCTCAATATTTCCCTGCTGTTGATTTAGTTACTGATTTTATTGCTGCCAAGCGATTAACGGCGTGGGGAATTGTTGCTCTTTCATTTTATGAGATATAGGTCTAAATATTTGTCAAACTCAAGCTCTTTTGTTTAGACTATACCATTTGAATAGGGAACACATTACTATGCCTGAGGCAGCTCAGATTTATAGTTCTGTAATTATCTGTCTTGTTTTTTGAGAAGTGTATTCTGTGAAACCACTTTCTTAGCAAAAAGAAGAATTTCTGCTCTTCTGTTTCTTTATCAGGTTATACATGAGCAAGGGGGAGATTTCAGCAACTCAGATTTCAGTACAAATTCTTCTAACATAAAAACTTTGTTCTATAGTGTGCATGTCAAGTGCTGCTACCCCGTGTATAGCACATTGAAAATGATGAGAAATAAGAGGGTAAAATGACTTAAATTCTCCTTCATGTGTCTTTTTCTTAGGCACAATGCAATTCCTGCAAACCCTTTCCTTCCTTTCTTCCTCCCCTTGTCTCTGCTTCCCCTTCAGCCTGTATGCCTTTATTCTGCCTTGATTGATACCTGAGCAAGTGAGCAGTGCCTCTAATGAACTGTTAAGCGTTTAACAGGGTAGCTAAGGGTGTAAAAAGAAGATGCAGATGCTGAAACACAGGCAGATGCGTACGAGTGGCTCAGGCTGAATGTGCATTGCCAGCTTCAGGTTTTCTTGGGTTTTATTTCCCGCTTCCCTATGCAATTGGAGCTTTCCAAACACATTCTGCTGGAAATGTAACGCACAAAGGAGGGTTGTGAAATGAAGTTTTGTTAGCAATATCTGTTTAGGGGCTCCAGGGAGGTGGGGTATTTGGCCTAAAATTCCATTTTGGCAGCTTTTCGGCGTGTTACATGCATGGGTTTTGTTTTGTTCCTTTTTGCACTGTGGGCTTCAAGACTCCAACCAATTAATTCTGGAGAAAAGCTTAATGTGGGCTACTCCTCAAGAAGGGGTCTATTTTAACATTCAGTAAACAGATAATCCATTAGGACAACAATATACATTGTGGCAAGTGCTATCCTACGTTTTTTTTTGTCAGCGCTTATTTATAGTCTTTTGATTTCACTTCCCTCCTGTGGTGCAGTTTCAATCATTCTCCCTCCAATCTTTGTTCCCGTATTCATTGCGAGCTGAAAACAAAGTAAGAAAGAAGCTCATACGTAGCGTTCTATTCTCGGCCAGTTCTTCCTCTATAGCAAGAAGGCGGTTGTATTTGGTCACCCTTTCTCCGCGGGCAAGACCTCCCAACTTGATGAACCTGGCACCCAGTCCGACAGCCTTAAATGAGAAAGTGCAGTTTAAAACTACAGTTGGGGAAGGGAAGGCATTCTCCCTGATTAAACATGGTATCCTGCTCCTAATTTAACGCTCGCAGCTTTCTACAGATAAAACCCCTCCTCTAAGGAGAAATAAAATCCCTTTGTGAAAGACTGGTCGTATGCAAACAATAATTTTCACTGGCATATGGGATGAAACTGTATTTGCAAATGGAGCTTTGATCCAAAAAGACTCGATATATTGGTGTGAAGGAGTTTTTTGCCTAAAATATTATTACTACTCAGAAATGTTTGAAGTAACTCAGGGTTTTTTACGCAACCGAACAGATCACACACACTTCTGAATATCCTCCCTGCTTTGGCAAATTTCCTGTGTGCTCTCTTTAAACTCAAAGATTAACACTCTGTGGGGGGAGAAAAAAAAAAAGCAACTCTCAAGAAAAAGCCCATTTTGTAAAACGTTGTTTCTTTCTCAGGCAGAAAGAGGCTTTCTCTTTAAAAACCAGTTCATGTTAAAAGCAGTGTTTTGGCAATTCTGCAATTGAACAGCTTTCAATACGTACCAGATCCACAAGGCTATCATCAGAAGATTCTCCATCTGGGCTTCCTAATATGGTAATTTGTCTTTGACCTGCACATAACGGGAGTGGAAAAACTTCATTAGAGTATATTTTACATAGAAATTGTTTGGACTTTGCATTCTTTTTTATCCTTGGGCTACCAAAACTTAAATGCAAAGAGGAGTAAACCCATCGAAACCCAGCTCACCTAAATGTAAACTCTGTAAGTCTGCTGCATTAACACTATGGTTTATTTCCAGCGTGGAGAAGGGCATCTCTGACATTCCAGCCTGATTCCTGTCTCTCACTGATCTGTGTGGTAATGTATTCTTACAGGCTAGGAGGCTGCTCTGTTCATTTGAAATGTGCTCCTTACAGTAATGATTTTTATTCAGTATAAAAAAGGAGTTTATCATCCTGAGTGAATGAAAGCTTTAAGTTGCTATTTACTTGCTTTGATATAGTGATTCTGGGCTTTTGGAACAAATAGATATATTAAATTTGTCCATCTATTGTATAAAAATGAATAAAGAAAAAGGGATAGAAAGAGAAATCCCTATTGAAACTGCACAAGATCGTAGTACTGTTACCACACAGGCTCAGCAATATGTAGTCAAGAATGTAGTAAACTGCAGTTTTAAACAGTTTGTACTTGTTTGATTCCTTAATCATTAATACTAGTAGCAGTTAAAATTCAGATTACTCAACTACATCTTTATTTTGTTGAATTCTGATATCTAGTGTATGTCACTTGGCTGCAGTGTCAAAGGGCACCCACACTGAAAACATCACAGTGTATTCATTTACTGTAGTTAGGCACTGAATGCCGGTTTAAGTTCCTGAACAGAGATTTGTGAATCAAAACATGAATGTTAGTTTCTTCTTTAGTTTCTAAATTAGAAGTGGCACTAACTACATAAAATGATGTAGTATTTCCATGCTATTTATTGTAGCTTTGACAGACAGCCTTCCCCCCCCCCCCCCCCCCCCACTCTACTCACCGTCTAGAAGTCCAGTAAGTTCTATGAGGTCTGAGACCTTAGTTTGGTTAATATACTTTAGGACAACACCACTGCACGTTGGTACATTTAAGTTTTGGTCAATTTTAAGTTTGGAAATATACGTGGCAGCGTCTTCAGCAATCAGGAAACATTTGGAACCAAGAGCACAGCATATGTTACTCCATTGCTGCCTGTCCTGCACAAAGAATCAGGTAAATAACTGGAGTTTATAAAACTAAACTGAACGAGATAAAAATAAAGAATAAATTTGGATTTAATCCCAAAGCTACTCTTCATATAAACATATTTTATACTGTATTTTAAATCTGTCCAGCTATGAAAAACATGCTACTGGAATTTTGCTTGAATTTTAAGGTCTTGCTAGAAAACATAAATGCTGATCTGGAATTACTCAAACCTTGCTGCATACAAGTATAGTTTAAAATATTTCCATATAAATTAACTCTAGGAGTTTGCTATTTTGGTTTCCTCCCTGAAATTTATTCCATTTTAATGGAGTATCAAATAATTTTCTACTGTTTTATTCAGAGGACTCATTTTTATGTTAACATTTTAAGTGTCCTAATATTTGTTTGGATATAAAATACTGAAACTGGAGGCAGTCATAGACTCAATGACATGTATAGAGACAGGATGAGCAGAGCTGCAAGGCTGAGCCAGAGAGAACAGCAGACTGCAACGCTCGCTTTCAGCAAAGCTCTGGGGCTTTAGGGGTTTTGTTTCTTGATTTTTAATGCGCTGCCCACATGGTACTGAGATTTAAGGATAAACAAAGGACAAGGATATGTAAATAATTTGAAAGCAGAAATTTATCAATTAATGTAGAGTTATCACATGAAAAACATGACTATTCTAGTTAATCATTCTGCCAGTAATAATTCTTTATCTGCAGATCAGACAGACTTCTGTACCTATGTAGCTGCAATCTGTGTAAGGGTCCGTTCGTCTCAGGATTTCAAGCCCACACATAAGTGAAAATGAAGCTTTTGACACCTGAACAAATGTTAAAACTCAAACACTCTGCTGTCTGGCAATGAATTGCTGAACTGGTACCAGAACTAAGCCTCAAGGACTTAATGATCTGTGGCAAAGATGTGGCATGGGCAAACCTTATAGATTTAGGAGTGAGGGGAGGAGCAGGAGAGGCATGTCCCTTAGTAGTATTCTAATCCCAACTGCACTTCACTATCTGTGAAAGTTCTTCTGCGGATTTGCATACTGTAATTGTTCCTTCATAAGGATTATCATGGAAGTTTGCAGCCCTGGCAGGAGTGGGGAATAAGCTGGTGGTTTGGAACACGGGTAATTCAGAGAGTCAGAGAGAAGCAGTGCAGGAAGACAGGGCTAACTACAGTGAGGTAACAATTAACACAGAGACTTGAAAAATGAACTTCTAAAGTTCCAGTTAAGAATGAACTCAGATGGATTTTGCAGTTCATCAGGTTTAGAATTATTTATTCACTGGGCAGATTCACAAAGACAACCTCACTCTGCTTCCCCTTTAATCACAGCCTTCATGTTTTGTTCATGAAAACAACACCTTCATATTTATTTTAAAGAAGATAATGTGTAAAGTTCAACAGCAAGAGCAATTTTTATGAAGTTCTGCATCTGCAGGATCCAGGTCTGCAATTGTGGGTTCTGCTACAATTAAGTCCTGATCTATTGTGTAATGCACGGAAACAATCTTAGCTATGTAGAAATGCTAATAGAGTTATGCAATCTGTTTCTTTCACCCATCTCTAACTTGATAACATGCTTAACAGTATTCTACTTTATTGTTATAATCTATTAGCCACACTAAATTAACTCCTCTAACTTTGATCACAATAGGAAATACATGAGATCTCACAATCACTTTAATCCCTGTCACACAATGCTGCCAGTGACAGGCTTGGTCAGGCTTTGGGAATAAATCTCAGCCATGAAGAACAGCAGCAATCTTTTTTTTTTGAGGGATTTTAAGGAATATACAGCTATAATTTTAGCTATAATATAATATAATATAATCAGCAAAATATAACTTGAATTTTATAATTTTATTTTATAATTTGAATAATGGAAATAATGTAACAAAATGTAAGGAAAATGTAATAAAAATGGCACAGTTGTTCAGGGAAAAAAAGGCATTTTCTTATAATTCTTTAAAATGTTTGTACTGACCACCTCCTGTTCATGCCAGGATTATTTTCCATCAGGAATTGTGTCAAAAGTATAGAAAGATTTAGAGTTACTGTCAGTTACAAATACACAAATGAATTGATAATTTTTCTAGTGATATGCTGAATGACTCCAAAAGCAGAAGCTTTGTATTTTCTTTTCTGTAAACATGTGAAAAGTTCAGTGATTTCCCACCAAACAGTATTATCAGCTTCCTAAGGACTGTACTGTGGTATCTTACCTCTTTTCTTAAGGGATCTATTAATGCAATAATAAAAGGGAATTTGTCAGTCAGCTCCACATACATCTTAATCATTTCATCAGGGCTTTTGAATGTTCCAGTGAGTATTTCATATTTGCCTTTACTCTAGAAAGTAAAGTAAAAAAACATAAAACATAAGGAAGGTAATGCTTTAAAAACCAGAGTGCTAATGTAAGCACACAGCTCTTGTGACACCAGTATCCCTATCAATGCAGTGGGTTGTGTGCTCTTCAATAAGCCCCCATTCACTTGTCTGCTTTACTCTGCATGTAAGTGCCCAGCATATTGTTATAGAAAACTCTGCCAGGGGGCTCATGCCAAAATCTCTGAACCATGCCACTGCTAAACCAAAGGAGATCTATTTCAGCATTTTTAGGGAACACTGCCCATTTTACACTGCTTTATGATAGTTATCGATCTTTGACATTTTTATTGAATCTTGCATGAAAAACTTCATTAATCACTTCCCCCCCAGAGCTAACTTTGGGTCCTTATTTCATAAAGAAAATATTGCTAGGGGAAAAGAGTGCACCTCCAGTGCTCAAAACGTAGGTGCTGCCTTTCCTTGGCCTTCACCCCTCTCAAAAAGGGCTAGTTTAAAATGAGTGTCATCATTATGGGAAGCACAAACTGCAGGATTATTAAAAGCAGACTGACAGACAGTGCCAGAATAGCTACTGCTTTAGTGACTTCAGCAGTTCAGTAACAGAAAGAGAGTAACTGTAACTCACTGGTTAAGATTTTTCTTGTTCTCGTATATGGGATACAGACACCAGACTGTCCGGAAACCAACAACTGCTTTAACAGAAGATATTAGTCACTACAGTACACCCAAATTAACCTCTTTAGATATTAAATGGAATAGAAAGTTTCTCTGCTGAGAGAGAAATCTGATTAATTTTGGAACAAGGGGCAAGAACTTTAAGACTAAAAATCAGAATTAAAAGGTTAATGTGGATACACAATGAGATGAATCTTAGTTGGTACAGAATCATACTATGACAGGAAGGTTAAGGTTGTTTGAATTAAACAACAGATGTAGTGTAGTATAATGGAGAAATAAGCATGTAGCGGTGCTAAGGAATTGCAGAAGTACACTTGTGTAAATAATCTCTTGTTCTTCATCCTTGCAAGTAAGGTGGATAGGACAAAATTATTTCATTTATACCTTGTGGTGAAATGAACAAAAAACAACAAACATCAAAACAGGATTTGCTGCTTAATACTTGAATTCAAAATTGTCTAAGATGTGATGCGAGATGAAGCTGGTTTGTCAAACAGAGGTGTTTGCCCATTAAAGAGTTTGCTATATTTGACCCAGGCTGATCTGAAAAATCTGAATGAATAATTAAACAGAGAAAAGGACTAAACCTGGCTGGCGCAGTCAGGCTTATACCATTTCAATGATTAAAGTCAAATCATGAAAGGAACAGAGATTTATGCACGTAGGACAAAGCTATAACGGGGGTCTGCCTTGGTCCAGTGAGCCTTGTTCCATGCCACCAGTATGCTGGTGCAGCTGGGGAGGAGGAATACATCCATTCTCCCTGCTCCCACCGCACCAGGCTACCAGAAGGATGTCTGCATGTCTCAGCCCTTGCACTCACAAGCCAGTAACACATTTGTTACACTTGTAGGACTGATTTAAATGCAGAGACAATTCTTTTGGTTTGCTTGATTGCTACCTTAAAAAATGGAGTTAGAAGCTTCAAGGTGAGTTTGCAACGTAATGCTAAATAATGTTAACAAATAGCTATATTTCTTTGAAAGAACAACAAAATAGATGCTGAAAATAACTTACATAATCCATTAATTCATGAGCAGCACAATTTATTGCTAAGTACATATCTTTTCCTAACTGCAGGCTTCTATTGTCACAAGCTGTTTGCATTAGGAGTAGCAGTTGTTCTAGATTATCACATCCTGTTATTGGGCATCCTAAGTGTGATACTCTTTTTGAGGCTTGTTGCTGCAAGTAAAACAAAAATAATCACTTTATGTACACACATGTATATGTATTATACTTGTATATATATTTTCACTGTCATTTCAGTCTGCATTCAGTCATCAAAACATAAATCTGTTCTCAGATATTGCATTGGCAACTTTAAGGGCAATTTTCTATGAATTAGCGATGATCAAGTGCTAACGAGTAGAGAGATAACTGTGTTTGGAAATATGTCCAGTCACGTAGTTCTTGTACTTACGCGGCCAATACTGGCTTACAAAAAGATACTAAACACATTTTTAACAACCACTGAGTTGCTATGGATGCTGTGTAAAAGTTGACAGTACTGTGGACCATCTCTTTGCAACAAAAACATAATCTCTACTTTTAAACAGCTTTTACTCATTTATCCTCAACTACAGCTTTGATATTGCTTTGATGGAGTGTTCGAGAAACACTAGAATCTTCCTGGACTTCTAGAAGGAACAAATTTCATAGAGGGGAAATACCTCAAGCACAGCTGCATAGAGTTGTCTGCCTCAGGAACAGTGTTCCTGGACATGAGCCGCAAGCAGAGTTGTATCAAGAAAATCTTTCATGTGTCCTTCTATTGTGAGGGTTTTTTGTAGGTTTTTCAAACATTGATTTTTGACTTTAAAGCCTGTGAATTTTGGATTATGAAGAGTGACCTTAAGTTGCCCAGAAAGCAGCAGGATATAATCCTAGGTTAGACTGGAAACGACAATTGGAAAGCATCGGTTTTGACAAGAATTAGAGAATGAACTACAGAGGTTAAGTCTGCATTTTCATGTGAGTTTCAAGGTACCCATATGTTCCATTGGTACCCTTAGGTACCCTTGTTCATTCTATTAAAAGCATGATCTTTATAAAACCATTTTTTCTGTCTATACTATAGCACATAGTACTTTCTATCTATACTATAACCTTCTACAACCTAAACAGGTTCTTCTTCACTGCCTACTTTGTAATTTTCCCTTTCCCCCCCCAAAAAAAAAGTTCAAACCAACATGGTGCTTTTATCAGTTTAAAATTCAGTCTCACTTCTATCTCCTTTAGCTTTCTCCTATTGAAATAAATGGATTTTTTTTTTCCAGAGAATCTAATGGATTGTTTCCCTATGCAGATCTTATGGAATTGTTTTAACTTGTGACTTCAGTATATATTGTGATAAGAATGTGGAAATTACCCACTGCTTAATGATGATGAATTCTGTGTTTAAGCAAAAGAATAGGAAAACTTCAGGTCATGCTCTCTTTTGCTCATACTCAACAAGAGCAACAATTCTTACCTGATACTGTTTTAATCGTTTCAGAATGGAGAGCAAAACCCACATGGCGTTTCAATCCCATTAGATGGAAAACTCATCTATAAACTACAGGCTTTGAAGTGATCTGAGTCATATAAAATAATGTCCTGTGCACATTGGGAGTGCTGCCCTTTAGCTCCTGGTTTGTATCTGCCACTATCTATAACCTGAAACAGGAACTGAGAACTTAATGCAGCATGATTAAGAGGGGAGTTATGCTCCCTGAGTCAGGAAACAGCACAATATGCAAATCTTACAGGTTATAGTTTTATGGCCTACATGGTCAAAAAGGCACATTCTCTCCTGGCACTATAGCCCTGAAAAATGCCTGTTTGGATAATTTACCAGGATCTCTATATGAAAAAAAAAAGACCAGATTCCAGAAGAATTTCCCCTTTCTGTTATTGTTCCACAGGAAGGGAAGGTATGGCCAGAAGAATCCAAATTACTATGTAAGATACGAGCATCTGGAACATTTAAAAGTTTTGCCTTAACCTTTCCAAAGCAGTAATGTAGATTAATGCTTCATTTCCTTAGAACATTTTGGTCCCCTGCTGTTATTACTATGCTGAAGGCTTAAAATGAAAGTCTCTTTTCTTACCACAGATTTCTTCCTCGTATTTTGTGCTTTTCCTTCCTTACTGTCTGCTGCTCGAGGACTGGGCTGGTGGTGGTAAAATAAGAAAGAAATCAATTCCATGGAAAAGTCCAAAAAAGTCATACAAATAAAGGGACTGAATTTTGGCCTAAAGAGATTGCAAATATTTGTTAGGATACAGCTTCTGTTTTGTCTTGAATACTATCAGCAGCTATCCACTTTTATTTTGTGGTGGTAACTCATTTCAAATCTCAGAACCATGGAGTACCAGGTTGGAAGGGACCTCAAGGTTCATCTGGGCCAACCTTTCTGGGAAAACCTAGACTGGTTGCCCCAACACCCTGTCCAGCTGAATCTAAGAAGTGCCCAATGGTGGGGAATCCACCACTTCCCTAGGGAGATTATTCCAGTGGTTGATTGTTCTCGTTGTGAAAAATTTTCCTCCTGTTTTGAACTTAAATCTCCCTGGGATTCACTGTACCCGTGACCCCTTGTCTTTTCCATGTGACCCCTTGTAAAAAGAGAGTCTCCATCTTCCTTGTAGCCACCCTTTCAATACTGAAACATGGTGATAAGGTCTCCCCTAAACCTGTATAGAAATGTTCATTTCTACATGGGCATCACTTCAACCATTGTTTCAAAGATTCTCACCAAGTCTATCAAAAATACAGGGGATCTCAGAAATTATAATGTAGACTCTAACAGCAACAGCACCTTGAATAATGCACATTGTGTGTAGCTGTGTGTGACTTAGCAAGAACAGAACCATATATTGTATATTCACTGTGATACCATTCACTCCCAGGATACTTTTTCAGGTAACCAGAAAGTCTTACTATGCTTAGAACATTGTTTTATATTATCTTTGTTAATTTAATATCACCAAATGGCCAATGCTTATTCATCTGTCAGAGAAACACATCTTCTAACCTGTGCCATAAGACAAAGCCTGATAACAGGCTAAATGTTCCGTATTTAATCTTGAAAAGAGAATAGAAACAGAAAGACGAAACAAAGTACATCACATTATTATTGCACATTCTTATTGTACCTCTTTGCTTAGCAGATCCAACAGTCTCATAAATTCTTTCTGAATATCCAGAGCTCTTTCTAAGCCCTGAAATTAAACAACAGTAATCTTCAAAAGGAAGATGAATTATTTCCTTTTTAGCAGGTTAAATCAGATGAGAGAGAACACTTATTCTAGATGTAGATCTTAAGTCTTAAAAAAACCCCAAAACTATTATAAGCTTCCTAAATGCAATCCTCCCCACCCAAAAAATGCATCAAGTGTCAAATGAGAAAGGGTTAGTAGCAGTGGCATGAACATGAGTATTTAGTCATGCTGCTCAATGGGATGGCAAGAAAAGTAGTCTCTTCTTCTCCAAAAGAAAGCCTTTCCAAATCTAACATGTAGCGTTACCTCAGTCTGTGTAATATGTGAGGAATGGAAAGTTGATAATCACTTTTCACAATTGTAACTCTATCTAAGACTTCCTAACTGGAAACTGGCAAGATTGAATGTATTTACCTTCAGAACATTCCCAGGAAGCAGGGAAAAAGAAATCGCTGTCTTAATTTTAAAATGGGAATGAGGAACACTCTAATTAAATGAATCCATTGCTTTTAGTGTAAGACCCTTTTTCCCTTTTTGCTTAAGTTAGTAAAAGTTTAATGCTAACTTCATAAATCCCATTTCAGATTTTCTTCAACTGTGCCAGCAAAGGAATACTGAAGAGGGCAGAAGTCAGTCAGAGCTGACAACACACCAACACAGGACGAATGGCTACGGTTTTTGCAATGCAGCAAACAGCTTGCTACTCTCCCATGAGCACTAGGAGGCATTCTGTCTTTGAAAAGTACAGAATTAGCAACCTTATTCAGAGCTCTTGGTGACAATTCTATACAGTTAAAGGAAAAAGAGAATCGAGCTCAGCAATTTGTTCAGGTCACCAGCATACAAAGTAGAAATCACAGCCCTAATGTAGGCATCTTGTGCAGATACATTCTTTAATGCAACACATGGCTAAACAAAAAGAGAAGGTTGATCCAGGCTGACAGACTGGATCAACCATCCTTCTTGCCCCTTGAATAGATTTTGTTCTGCTTTGTATTCCCTTCTATCTTCACAATGTCATTTTAAAAGCAATGTATTCCCAAAGATTTTAGGCTCTCCTGTGAATTTAAGAGTTTTGTTGTTTTGTGTGGTCTGTCAACTGATACTATTTATAATCTAATAATGTAAAATCACAATCGAAACAAAACTAAAATCCCTGCTTGTGTAACACAATTGCCCTACATCATCTTCAATGCAGTTTTTTTTTTCCTCTAGCACATACATTTTTAAATTGAAATCTTCATGTACCTTCTTTTAAGTCTTCATCTATTTACTTCTATTAATGTTCCTAGTGTTAGAATTCTGCACTAACATTTGTTCAAAGTTTGGCCTTGCAAGCAAACAAGGAAATGAAAGATTGTAAGGATTATATTGCAAAGTTCCAGGTACTCATGTACATATATAGTTGATATTAAGTCTATAGAATACATACATGTGAACATAAATGAAATAGTACCTGTTTGAATGATAAATGAACTGGTGGTATAAGCATAACTTCTTTCACTAATTTCAGTTTTGCAGTTTTTTCACAGTTCAATACAGTAACCATTGGGAGTGGTAGAGTCATTTCTTTAGGTGAATCCTGTAATTGGGGGTACCAATTAATAAAATTGTTAAATGAACGTTAAATATTAAAGTAACATATTTAATGTTTATAAAAATGTTAAAAATCAGATTTACATAAATGTATATAAAATGTAAATATATATAAGATTTATATATTTGAATTACGGCACAGGGTTCAAAGGCTGCTACAGGCAATGGTCTTAAAGGTGTATTCCATGAAGTATATTTAACACCACTGTCACGAGGGACTACTGGCTTCAGAATTCCAGAGTAATTGTGATAACTGGGATAAAATAAATCAATAAAAAGGACAAAAGTCACATGTACCTGATTGTGTTTCAGCAGTGAGATATGTAAGTACAACGGGACACGGTTAATGGTGGCACCAGCCTTAGCTATAGCAAGGGATGTTCCTCCAATGGCTAAGCTGCCACAAAGCACCAATTCAATGGGTTCTGCAGGTGGGATCATTTTCTCTGGAACTGACACCTTCTTTCCTACAAGTCAGAGACTAGTAGTTAATTATTTTCTTGGTTTAAAACATGTGCTTATGTATCACAGTTCTATGTAAATATGCTACTGTCATTTCAGTTCTATCCGATGTATTACAAAAGAATCAGTTGTTTTATATGAAATGACCTTATAAATATGCAAATGTCACCCTGGTTTCAAATATATTTCAAATCCATTTCTTCTGGAGATGTTCAGCCACTGAAATCTGTGGTTTTATTTATCTATGTTTATATCCAGTAACGTTGTATCATTTTTCAGGTTCCTTTCATAACCATGATTTCAGTATTCTTTATCCTTCTCCTTCGTATGCTCAGCTTTTGCAAAACCAGCAAATGACATAATAACCTGATTTTTGGGAGTTCCCATACTTGAGTTCTTCTAATAATGTATGTGAAACAAATTTAGTCCTATTATAGTTGGGTCTTCCAATGAGAAAACAAGTCTTTTACGTAATCTACATTTTCAAAAGGAATTATTTCCCTTTCACATAGAGTAACTGCTGCCAAAATGCTTGAAACCTAGCAGTTTCCACTACCATGTTTATTTCCTACAGTGCTTACAGGAACTTGTACAGTAAACACCTATGTAAAACCACAGTAAGTACTCTGATTCCCAACACTTTTGCACTGGGGACTTTTTTGTCAACCTGACCAACTACTTTGGTTCCTAACAGGAGTACAGAACAAGTTTTTATTTCAATAAAGGATAAATACTACAGGATACAACTGGTATTTTATGATAAAATGTTCTTAATGGAACCTTAATTGGGATATGCAGAGCAGATAATACATCATTTTCATCTTATAAACAGACTCTATACTTCTTGCATTGAGGATGAAAAGCTACATACATAGACACTACTAATCCAGTACTGAGCGACTTTGACAAAGCAGTGTTTCGCAGAGATCCTTCACACTACACTACTTTGTAACGTGCATAAATTACACCATAGATGCTCTGAAAGCACCTGCTACTGGAAGTCACCATCTGTTAGTGGTCTGGAACAACAAGTAGCTTTATAATCATTGGCTGTTAATAGTAGGTGTTGATTATAACAATAATATTACAGTCAATGTCACAATCAAGTATAAAGAAAACACAGTGATAACAAGTAATATATATGTCAGCAGAAGCTTCGCTAAAAGTATAAGACACAACATAATGATATCTGAATGGTCCTGACAGCTGCAGATAATACACTGCCCATGGCAGGGGGGTTGGAACTAGATAATCTTAAGGTCCTTTCCAGCCCTAACTATTGTATGATTCTATGATTCTATTTCAGCTCAAAGGTGAATTTACTGTGTGCATACCTAACATATTAATTGGGAGGTTTTACTAATAGTATATGAGAGTGGAAACTAAACTGATAAGAAATAATAATTTGCCAAAATTTTCTGCCCTTCCAATAAATGATAATTTTTTTTTTTTTAATGAGGGTGATGCATATATGGAGATAACATATGGTGCTTTTTCCCTTTGGGATTTTAATTCGGGCCACTATACTTCCCCTCTTTCCCTCCTCTCACACCGTTTTTTCCTTTAGTAGGATTGTTTACTGCTTTTTACTATGTCCTGCCCATCAATCCTATCTCATGCCCTTCCTTCTTTCTCTTTTGCTTTTCACCTTTTCTTGGTGTTAGCAAGAAACTTCCCTTCCTCCCTCTTTCCATTCTTTTCAACTTCTATCTTAATTCCCTGTTCAGTGCTGTGATTCCCTTTTCTTTTCTTTCCTTATCATTTTCATTTTTATTATTCATTTACATCCTCCTCCATTCTTATTCCTTACTCTGAAGATTAATAACCTCCTGTCTAAGCCAACTGTAAAACAAAGGCAGAAATGCATGTGAATGATGAGAAAACTGTATTTTCCCCCCTCTCATTTCTGCAGTAGAAACTGCAGAAATGCTGTGATCAGAAAGATTTAGGAGAGTAACCATTGACCATGAGACATCGTGTCATGTGTCCACAGAATAATTCAGAAAATATTTTAGCACCCTTATCAACATCTGTATTGCAGAGAACATTACAATGAAGTAAAATAAAACCTTGTTTTGCTGCTTTTTTTCCCCCAGGTAGTGCTGTTGCTGGTGGAACGCATGAAGGGGATTCTTCGCCTTTTTCCTTTTCTTCTCGCTTTCGAATTTCTTCTTTTTCCTCTACCTTTTTTGTAAAGTATTCACTGAGGGAAGAGACATAAAGATTATTGTCTCTATTAAAAATATTATATTCTAATATTTATTTTGTTAATATTAACGATATAACATCATATTTACAATATTAATAAAATATTGTTAGATATGTGACAAGCAGACACAGGATACATGCCAAAGAACATGCTAAGAGGTGGATTACGGGCATCTACTTGAGCTTCTGCCATAGGCTCATTGTGTGAAGCTACAGAAGTCAATAAATGACATTTTTTTTTAGGTAGTCTTCTGCAGCTTTGATTAAACAAAAAGAAACACAAGCAAGTATTATAAACCTTAAAGCATGCTTTTCAAATCACAGTGGTTGGAAAGTCAGCTTTGAGCAGACAATTTTGGCATGAGGGATGTATTTGCTTTTTGTATTAACAGATCCTGTCATAACTTCATGACATACAGCAGCCTGGCCTAGGTTGCTAATCCAATAGATCAGCTGTATACTGGTTATCTAAGCAGCTCCAAGCTCAGAAGCAGCAGAATTTCAATTACATGCCCAAAGTCATGGGTCACACTCACCCAATTCAGGCAAAGGAAATATATAAGATATATAAAGTAGTGTAAACAAGGCATTAAAATCTTATTTAGACTCACTTCATTTGGAAGAATTTCTTCCCAGTGGAGTCCTTACTCCCTTCATCAAGGTTTCCCCAAAGCTAATCCACACGGAAGGCAATTAGGTCTGTTTGCTTGAGACTGTGTTAAGTGTGGCAGCCCAATCGTTACCCTTAAGGCTGTGTCATCTCCCTCAGTGATATAGCTGAAAGACACTTCTGACTACAACAAAGGATGTTATTACTGCTTCCAGGGTGAAGCAAGCCACTAATGTTGCGTGGTAGCTCCTCTAATGTTACTGTGAAAACACATTCAGATATATCTGTGATAATTTTACCTTACCTCTTTTGGTTTTGACTTATAAAATCCAAACATATTTCCTTAGATGGAAAAACATGGCCATTGTATTTCACTTTGGGATACTCCCAAGAAGAAATGTTTGTATGAAAAAAGTTAATATGGATGTTTACCACAGAAACTATATTTCCAAAGAAAATAATTGCCTCAACTAAGAAGCCTTTTGGAGTAGCTTGCACATAAGGAAGACTCCACCAGAACTTGAAAACTTTATATATATATGTTTTCTATGGATTACCTCAATGCAGAAGGCACACACAGAGGCCTTTTTTATCACTGTTATTCTGCAGTGCAATGAACAGAAGGAGAGTAGCAGTCTGAAGAAACATTCCCACTGAATTAAACTGGCACTGAATGAGTTTCATAAATGTAAACTTTGACTCATGAACATGTCCAAGCATTTTTTTTCTTAAGGACTCTTTATTTTTGTATCCCGTGTATGAAACCTTGTAAAAACCAGCATGATTTTCATATCATAATTGTGAAAAAAGCAGGAAATAATGTGGTGCATGTACCTGAGACATCGTGTTCTAAAAATATTTTAAAAATAGTAGAAAACATTTAATATTTTATATGTTTTTAATTTACAATATAAATTAATGGTGTATATTTCAAATGCAATAATTTGCATAATAAGCAAGACCTACCCAAGCATCTTATCAACTTCACCCTGGTCAGTAGGCTTCACGTCTCTTAACATTGTGCTCAGTGATTCATTGACCCATTCCACGGCAGCATTAACAGAGTTATTCCTTTCTTTCTCATCAGCTTCAATTGTTTCAGGTAAAGCATTTACAAGTGTTTGGAAATGCGAAGACATGACAACAGAGCAAATCCTCTGCAAAATAAAAACGTAAAAAGGCTTAAACTACTATTTGATTTAATAAAACACTATTTATTGATTTCTCGCTTGGAAATGGCATTTGAAAGACTAAGAAGTATTTGTCCTTATCAACTCTATAAGGACTTTTCTCCAAGTTTACTGTTTGCTTCGCTTTTTCATCCATTCCTTTCTTCCTTATCTCTAGTAATCACAGATGCTATTCAAGTTTCTTACCTCAATTACAGCTACTTAGGTAAAAACCTCCTGACAGAGCTGGTTTACACATACATTTTGTTACCAGAATAGAATGAAGTTATTTTAAAGACTATACAGTCAGTAGAATGTTTAAGTGCAGCTGTCGGTAGCCTGTTGTACCACGATTCATCAGCTTTCATGCTTGATGACATCCCTCATGATAAATTACATTTTGTCTTACTTAAGTAATTTAAACTTACCTTTCTGTACTGTTGAAGAATGATACTTAAAAGAGAATTTGCTTAATGAAGAAATCATTTACAAATATCACAGTGCTGCCTGCATTAACAGTATTACCTTTGCATAGTGTGAATAGCTAAGAAATGCTATTTAATTCAAGAATGAGGTGAACCCTAGTTTAGCTGAGAGAAAGCAGAAATAATTACTCCAGAACAGCTAGAGTTGCAAACACAATACCTTGAGTATTTGTGGTTGGGGAAGAGATAGCAATGCACCATCAATTTTGCATTGCAGGTGCTAGGTGATCATGTTTGACTTAACTATCACCCACATCAGCCTATTAGCTCAGTGTAAAAACCTGCCTTCACCTATACTGTGTTTTTCACCTGTACGTATTTTTCTTTAGGATGTGAGTAGAAGAGTACCTCTCCTCGATTCCTTACTAAAATAAATCAACCAGGAAGAAGCAGCTCATACCCTCTCATAGTTTCTAACTGTACAGTGTGTTTCCACTTCCAGTGTTGGCTGACCAACTCCATCAAGAACTTTTCTTCCAACTAATCTGGATATTACTGGAACTTTTGAAAATTTAGATAAGTAGTTAGCCTTAAATGAAAGAGAAAGAACTTCGTTAAAAGTCAATTTCTATGCAAAGAGGGGTTTATTACATTAAGTATTTTCAATCAAATCCACCATTGAGCAAATTCATTTATATGCTGCAGTATTCAAAAGATTTGTTACTGAACATTTACTTCTGTAGTATACCCTTGAGAATGAGATTCCAGGGAACAGATCCAACTCATACCTAAGTGTGGAAGTCCAAAGCCGCATCCAGGTTAGATGAACATGTGTTTTATTTAGCAAAGTTAGCAATGAGCATCCAAATCTCCTTTACTCTCCTAAAAACCATGCATTTGTCCAAAGCTTACTTGGCTTTACAGAGAAAACCAAAATTAGTCATCGTGCTACTCATTAAACTGATTTCTATTAGAATTCACATAGCCTCCACCTCCCCTGTGCAGTGAGGTGCTCTAAAATAATGGGTTTGTTTGTGGATAAGATCTTGAAAGAATACCTGTCTCTTCCCTCTCATAAGGAAAGAAAAAAATCCTGGCCAAGAGTAACTCTTTAAAATCTGTAAAGAATGCTACTAGATTCTAATGGCATATTAAAATTCTTGTGGCATGCTTTTATTTATTAACATCTATTAACCGGTAGTTATTAAGATTTAATATTACATTTTTTCCCCTAACAATAAAACTAGAACCAATCTTTAACCCAAATCCTCCTGCTTAGAAAAAGTTCTCATGTGAAATTCTATGCATAAAATTGTGTACATGCTGCACACAGGGAAAACAATAAGTATATTTAGAATATACCTCTTGCTTATAGGAAGTACGTAATGTCCCAGATATCTAATAATGTTTCAAGGTTGCTTCATCAACTACATATGTACATGAGAACATACGTTCTTATGTTCATGTGTCTCAACACTCAACTAATATTAAAGATCTTCATAGCAGACTTAATCTGGAAGAGAAGCTTGTCAGGAAGCTTCTCAATAACAATGATAACTACTTCTTTTGTAGCTTCCTCTCTTACAGAACATACTTGGTGTAAGGTTATTTATCACCATGACCAGCTCTCCTAATTAGAAGTGAGCTAACAAGGCCAGCACGATTTTAAGGAGCTGTGGTTATGCTGCACTTACCAGCAAGACTCAAGACAATGGATATAGCTAGGGGTCACTACTCCATAGGAAATCTGGGATTTTAGGTTAGGACACTTTGAGATCTATGAGAAAGATGGAAACCTGGACTTCTGGCAGGCAGAACTCTCTTGCATCTTCCAACATGGTCTTTAATGGGCCTTTTGAACAGTCATCATCCAACTATGTGAATTTATTCAGGGCTCTGCCCGTATTTAATAAACACTGATGTTGCTTTAACAAAAGGATTAAGTTGCTCCCTGAGGTTTATTACATACTTCCTTACTAGTTTCATTCTTTAGTCTGGTATCAGAGACAGTCACCAAACCTTGAATATACCAAATGGGAAAACCAGGAAACACTTGCAGCTACATAGAAGAAGGATATGCCAAACACCAAGCAAAGGTGTTAGCAGTTCTAGTCCCTTCCACTAGTGATAGCAAAACTCTTGGAGATGGGAAATGGTGGAAGATGCAACGAAATATTTCACTTTCCCGTCAGAGAACATACCAGAATTTATTTTTTCAAGAGTTTCTCACTATTGCAGTGATGGTAATTCCAGTATCACCACTAACGTTTCATTAGAACTTCTGTCTATAGTATTTTGCCAACTGGGAACAATAAAATTGGTCTGATTCTTGACACTTCCACTGAGGCCCACTTGCTTCTCAGGAGCAGCTGCAGTATGGATAGCACCCTGTCTCCTATTGTCACTGGTCCCACACACTGCCGTGCTAGGCAACACCTTTGTTAGGGACATCCATCTGTGCCCTCCTAAGCCTACACAGAGTCATAGAATGGTTTGGACTGGAAGGGACCTTACTTCGGTTTTGTGTTGACACACAAAACCAGCACAGGACAAAAGCCCCACTGCTGTGCAAATGTATTTGGCCCAGTATCAAAGTGCCACCGGGCACAAAGGTAAAAACACTGCAAACCTTGTGTGAGTCAAAGCCCATCTAAGGTCAGACGCAGCTTGGAGCAAGCTGCTCTAGTGGAAGGTGTCCCTGCCCACGGCAGGGGGTTGGAACTGGATGAGCCTTAAGGTCCCTCTAACTCAAACCATTCTGCGATTCTATGAGTCGGAGACGTTGAACACTCATCAACATGTTGGTTGACTAAACCCAAGGAGCAGGCAGCATCCCTTCTGCCTGCGGGCAAGTACAGAGCCCGGCACCTCGCCGGGCACTGGGAGGGAGCCGCGGGGAAGCCCGGTACGGCGGGCATCGGGGGGGCCTCCCCTCCGCTCCTCGCCCCTGTAGCGAGTACAGGAAGGAAATTGACCATCCTGCCCGCCGAGGAAAGCAACCCCCGGGCCCCGCAGCCCCTCAGCCCGGCGCGGGAGGAGGGAGGCTCTGCGGGGTTTCCGTCAAGGCTGCGCGCTGCTTCCCCTCCCCGCTCTACCAGCTCCCCGTAGAGATCCCCGGGGCGCTGGGGGAAGAGCGTGTTGAGCGCGTCCTCCATCCGCTGCGGCACTCCGTGGCTCCGGTAGTACTCCGCCGCCTCCATCCGCAACGCCCGCAGCCTCTGCCCCGCCTCGGCCTCCATGGCGCGGCTGTGGCGGTGCAGGCCGGGCTGGCTGCTAGGCGACGGCTGCCCCAGCTCTCGCGAGAGCGTCGCACCGGTACCGCCACCCCTTCCTGAGGTACCGGGGTCTCCTCACGGTGCTGCTGAGGGGGTGAATGTCGGTAAACGGGGGTTTGCTGCCGCGGAGCCGCTGATGAACCCCCTGCCCGTGCTGGGCTGGGTGCTGCAGAGCCGGGCGGTGGGGTGGGGTGGTTTCCTTAATACCGCGCGTGTCGGCGCTTCCCTCAGGCTGGCTGTGGCGATCCAAGTCAGAATGCCGGGAGCAGGTACTCTTTAGGTTTAAAAGTCTCCGAGCAACAAAATGGTGTGAAATTATCATCCTGACAGAGAGACAGATTATGGTTTGTGAAATGTCTAGTGAGGAGAACGTCGCAAAATGCCCCGGTAACTCCTGTGTTTAAAAGCCCTTTACTTTCAATGAAAAGAAACGTTTCACAACCTAAATGATCATTTTTAGTCTGCAATTTCCTACGAAAAAAACTTTCACTTTGTTACACTGTTCATTGGTAATTTTGTTGAAGTAACTGAAAATGGAGATACTTAAAAAGCTGTTAGCTGCACACTTCCTCAGCTCTAAAATCAATATGTGTAGACGTTTGCTCATTGTGTGTTCGCTTCTCTGGGTGGGGTGATAATGAAGAAAAATCCCTACTGAATCGTTTTCTTTTCCTTTCACATCCTTCAGAAATAATATGGTGCCTCTCCAGAGAGTTAAACCCTCTTTTCTTTCAAGCTGTTTCCTCAAAGTAAGTTTCTAAACTGACACTACCTGTTCCTTGAGGAGAGCAGGCAGCGAATACCTCATTAGGCTTCCCTCCTTCACGTTAGCACGATGGGCGGCTGCTCCTTTGGGTACGTTACTGTGGACTAGTTCCAGATCTGCATCACGTCTGTGTGCTTGGCCAGGAAAGCTCCAGTTTAATTAAGTATTCTTGGAAGAAGACTCGTGGAGGTAACTGGTGTCGTGCTCTGAGGGCATCCTCAGCATGCTAGATAATGCAAGCCAATGCAAGAGCTGTGCCTTCTGATACATTTCAAGTGCCTCTAGATCAGTTTCCCACCTTCTGCCTTTTAAAGGGCTCTAAATAAAATGCATCATAGAGAAACAGCTTCGACGGTATTGATTAACCATCTGGGAAAAAAAAAAAAACAACTTGTCAGCTTTACCTTTAGGACAGCAGTGACCTGAAGCAGATTGATACTCGGTTTATTTAGTAACCTTGCACTCTGTTTTTTTAATAAACCATTTGAAATACTAGTGAGGATTCCCCTCAAATATTTATCACTTTTGGTACGTGATCAAGCGAATGTTAAATGAATCCTCTGTATGGCCGTGTAATTTCCATTAACAGTAATAGTAATTGTAAGCATGTAGAAAGAGGATGGCTTATCCTGTGATCCTACCTATTATGCAGTAGTTAACTGATTAAGGTTAGGATGCTGCAAGCCACTTCATACCATCAGTGAACTCTCTGCAACCCCATTATCTTCATTAGGCCTGTGTGGGTGTAATTAATTGGTGTTTAGTTAACAGTTGTGTTGAATGAAAATAATTTAGTTCTATTTCTCTTAGTTTTATTGGCCCTGTGGTGTTAACAGGCTAAAGTGTAATTTAAAAACTCTCTAATCAAAGTATGTATTGCAAGCCCCAGGGAAAAACCCAGTGATGAAAAGCCCGTGACTAGTGTGGCTCTGGCTTTTGAGAAGTGATCAGGTAAAAATAATGCCCTACAGTAGTTCTTGTTTTTAAACACTAAAGATGCTTTACTTATATAAACACGTGCATTTAAAACATACAAACCCAGTTGTATAAGCTGGCAATCATCACTTTCCTACTTTCCTACTTTTCCACACTGTATTTTGATGTCTTCAATAGATTTTCTCCCAGAATCTTTGAGATCATATAGTATTTTGGGTGGATAAAGAAATGAGTCTTGTGTTTCTTTTGCAAATAGCTGTACGTATCACCTCTTGCCTTTACTATAGCTAGTGCCAGGAAATAAATTATGATAAACTGTTCCTAATTTATGAAATTGTATTGTGTACCTTCCTTTTTTTGCAAGATGCATTGCATCTCACTTGGGTGTTTATATGTGATGTTAATCTGGGGCGCTCTAAAAGCCAGTATAACTTGGCGTGCTTGAGCGTCGTGTAAAGGATTTGCTTTCTGGTGTTCTAAAATGTTGTTTTAAAGATATAAACTCGACCCTTAAATCAATTAAGATCATGGTCTCATTGCCACCTGGGTTCTTGTGGGATTCCACAGGAGAGTAATGTGTGCTCATTCCACTGACAGGGTCTTCAAGAAGCCATGTCTGAGTACATAAAACCTGCATGACATTTCCAATAAAATCAGGATTGCCATTTTAGCTCGGTGATACAAACAATCTTGTACAGCTATCTTACTGGTTTTGAGGCATTTGAATTTCTTAAATAAAAGGTTTGGGTTTTTTTTTTTCCCCCTTTTTGCACCTATAATGCTTCTGTAAGTGTTTCTTTTCATTCTTAATATTCTGTATTCTATGAAGCATAAACTCCAGTACAAAACTAAATAGAACTTTTTGTACAAGAGTAAACAAAAGCTTTGGTCCTAGGACACAACTGAACATAACATTTAGATTGGACTTTGAGTCAAGATTAAAAACTTACAAAAACTTGAGCAATATATATGTATATATATAAATTTCTAATAATTCATCTAGCATTATTATTTTAATTTCTAGAGTACTCATATAAGAGTTCATTTGCCTTGAGTAATCGTGCTCCGCTCCAATGGTTACTTCAAGCTGAGTGGGTTTTAGTACTAATTTCTTTCTAAAGTTTGAGGATTCTTTCTGTGGGTCTGTTCGACTCCTGCTGTGCAAGGGTAAGCCCAGCCTCCTCCAAAGGAGCCTGCTGAACTCAAGTGTAAGAGCTGATAGGCTTTGATTTATCATTCTGACTCTACAGATGATTTGGAACATATTTATTTGTATTTAAAGACAAAGGTTTTGAGCTGATTTTTGGGTTTACAGAAGATTGTTCTCAAATTTCTGTGATACAACTGTATTCTCAGTTTGTAGATTTGTGCAGTGTAATGCACAGGTTATGGGTGCATGCTGGGTTTAGTCTCAGGTATCAGGAGTTTACTACATGATTTCTTTATGCATGCATTTTGAAGAGACTGTGATGAGCTTTAAGGCATTATTGAAACCTACCTAGTTCAGGGCCCCTGACATGAAGGATTAGAGGGATATTTGTCAGTATATGTTGTCAGTATATTGTCAATATCATTCTCTGAAATGGGGATGGACTTACAAATCTATACAGAGTCTGAAATTTACCAGGCTCTGAGAAATCTATGTTAAATGTTTTCTATGAAATGAAAACAGAAATGTGTGGATGTACATCAATTAATTCAGATGAGGTATTAACATGATTTCAGAGATGATCTGGCAACATGGCCATAATACATTTGCAGTTTATACCAACCAGCAATCAAAATCCGAGGTAAGCAGAGAGTTAGAAAAGCAGGTACATGTACTTGAGTTTTCTAGTTCTGAGGCTGAGTAATTACTGCTAAAAGAAAATCTTACTTTTACAGAAATCAGCAAAATTTATTCCTGTTCATCAGCTCTTATTTTTAATGGTTAGAATGGTTTTCTTGATGTTCTAGTTTGAACCTGCAGTTCAAACAGCAGACAGAAAAAATAATGTATTGGTTAGAAGGGAATTACTCTTTTCTACTTTTCTGCTTTGTTGACGTGAGATACCTTTCTGAGAAGAATGATTTGTATCTTCTTAAATTATCAAATCTTATCAGAGCACTAAAGCAACTTTTTGATTTTTTTTTGTTTTTGTTTGTTTGTTTTAGTAAATCTTTCCATTCATTACTCTCACAATAAAGAATTTTGCAGAAGATTTTTTTAAATCTAATTTTTTTTAGCTTCACCCTTCAGGCTTTATGTCTTCTTTTTTCCTTTTCTATTGGCATAGAAATCCCCCTGAATTTGCTCAAATATTTGAGAAGCAGCACTTGCAGTTCCAAATACAGAAAGTTGGGGGTGGTTGAAGTGATCTCTAGGTTATTTGTTTCTGGTTAGCAGATTTTACATGACTGAGAAGTGAAGCCTCGCAGGGGCAGATGGACTGGTCATCTGTGGGCTACATGAAAAATGAAGTTGGAAATCAGAGTTATTTGCATGTATGTAGCAGCTGAAGTGAATATCACGAGCGAGAAGTAGCTAATTGAGTTCTTAAGTCCTGTAACTTGCTGACAGGTTTTAAGAGAAGCCTCTCTCTTTCTTTCCAGGAAAAGCAAAGCTAGTATCAGGGGGGTTTAAGGAGTTCAAATACAAAGGTAATTTTTATATTACTATTGAAAGCTGGAGCTTTCCTGCATCCTGTGATTCTTTCTTTTTTTTTTTTTTTTTTAACTTAAACACATTTTTGGGGACAAACTGAGCATGGAAGAAAAGGCAGAATGGCATTTTTTTCCCCCATGGTATATCTCCTGATTTTTACAACCTTAATCACTTGGGGCATGTCTTGAACTTTTAACCTTCTTCCGCCAGCACTGATGCTGTGAATAATGGACTCTCCTGCTTGACACATAACTAGATTGCAGTTCAAAGTGGATGTCACAAACACTATTGCACCATCTGGAGCAAAAGCTTGACTATCATTTCAGGATAAGCCCATAAGATCATATGATTTTATAACTGACTTAATTTTTTCCATTGCACTGATTTACACTTCCTTAATTCAAAAAATGTTATTATTAAAAAAACTAAAACTTGCCTCCTCTTGCTGCTATTTTTTGCACAATACCTCCAAATTTTCAGGTTTTGTATGAGTCATATTTCATTTATAACAATTTTGATCCTATTTTTTGCTATAAACAAGATCGTTTCCCTGAGACTAGGAAAATACTGTGTGAATTGTAGAGATAAAATTCTCTATTTTCCCCTATTTCCATTTAATAATTTTCTTCAATACTCAGTTAAAAAAAATAAAAAAGGAAATATTGCTGCTGCATATTCATGAAAAGTATGCACAGATTTCAAGCTAAATGTGATTATAAACTGAGAAGTTTGTCAGAGTCTGACTTCTGAAGAATACATAATATTTACAGTTCCAGGTAAGATACGTATTTCAATAACATCCAACTGGTGCTGTGTCATGTCCCTTATTTTGCAGAAAAGGTTTTATTGACTGGCATTACTGCGTGGGGGTGCAGTCATCCACTAAATACTGTTTTTATGAATTCTGATAGAGTTTGATTAAATGCTATTTGTGTGGCTTGTCTCAAAGCAGCAGATTTTGAGGGAGCTTGAACACCTTTGGCTTCCATTGAAAGTCGATGAGACTTGTGAATCCATAACATTTCTTCCAGAATGGCTTTAAATTAGAGTTGTGTGAAGAGATGGGGTCAGTCTGGTGGGTTTGTGGTGTTTTGGAGAAGTTATGATTATTGGAGAAATGGTGGCCCATTTGCAGAGAGGGAATTAATTCATAGTTCAGCCATCTCTCTTTTCTAAAATTAAACAGTGGTTGATACAGACATAGAAAAAGTGACTGTCTCTAATACAAAACCTCCTTTTATTTACTTCTTCAAACATTGATAAACATGTTTCGAGAATCAAACACATATGGACAGAGGTACAAATATTCTACTTCTGAATGTGACTTGGTTTTGGTAGCTTGTTCTGGTTCTACAGAATGATTGGGAACTGTAACAAGTGAGTAAGGCAATAAACATGATGATGTTTAGAAAACAATTCAGTTTAATATTAGCCTAATATTTCATATTCCTAGAGCTCTCTAGTGAACTTTCACAAATCTTTATCTTAATTTCTTGAAGCTATACTATGATGTAAATTACAGAGTCACAATCATTCAGGTGGGAAGGGGCCTTCTGAGAGGATCTACTCCATCTCCCCTGCTCAGGCAAGATCGACTGGAGCATCTTGCCCAGGACCGTGTCCAGCCAGGTTTTGAATATCTGCCCAGAGGGAGATTCCATAATGTTTGACCACACTCACAGCAAAAATT